CGCGGACAACTACCCCGTCGCCACCCAGGATGGAGAACTTCAGCGCCTCCCGAAACGCTCAAGAACCACTACCAACAGCGATGTTGATGTATCTCAGGTGGGCGCGAGCAACGCGGCCCACACAACGGGATACTCGGGACCATCTGCAATTTGAAAGGACGCGAAGGGAAAGGGCCGTGTACGTCGTTGAGCTCGTCGAGCTTCCATCGCAAATCGCCGAGCGTCTCGTGAGAGCGTATCTCCCTCTCGTGCATGCCGGCAATGCACGGCTTTGGCGCGTCTGCTTCTCCAAGCAGTCGAAGCGCGGTGTACAATCCTGTGCTTCCCTCCGTTTTGCTACTAGGCTCCCTCGTCTGACATTCGGGTCCCCTCGTCACCCTTTGGACAAGATTCCCCGCACACCTGATAGTCTTCCACATCTACCATACTCTCTCGCAATCCTCGGATTGTGTTTTCCTGCGTACCATACTGTGCTGTATCTTTGCGTACAACCGTGATCATCACCTTCTAGGGTCATGCTCCGGGCTCGCTCCTCGTCGAAGAGCCGGGCGGTGTGATCTCCGATGGCCGCAGAAAGGCAGTGAAGAAATTGTGGTGGATTGGCTTTGCATTTGGTGTATCCAGTAGGATTGTTCTTTGGAGAATTCAGGCGGGATGTGTCATGGTCATGGTCCGGGTGTAAGTCGGAACCGGCGCTAGCCCAAGCGTTGAATGTCGCCGAGTCTGTGTGCACAGATATTCTAGCATTGTGCGTCCCTCGTGAGATTTAATATGCAAAAGTAAACGCAAATTTAGAAAAGGATCAGCCGTCGTCTCCATACAGGTTGTTGCAACGAAATAGACGATTATCTGAGGTGTAGCGGCGCAGTGCCAGAGCGGAGTTCCCGCCACAGAACGCGCAGAAGTAAGCTTCCATGGCTTCGATAAGAATCCCGTGCTCGTTCTCGTCGCGCCGTGGGCTGCTTTGCAATGCCTAGGGGGTCTTGGTCGTTGCAGCGCACGGCGTTCACGCCGTGGGTTCATGCGGGCGCCTAGCCGTCGGAGTGTGGATCCATCACCCCGAAAAAGAAACGGCTGCAAGTTCGTTTGTCTCGCTTGCACAGCGCTCTTTCTTTGCTCTTTACACCCACCTCCGCCATCACCCAAGCGCCCCTGTGTCTCTCCGCCCATTGTCTGATCCATTTGTGCCTCATTTTTCTGGGACGTGCATAGTGCCTCGGCCTCATCTCCGCGCCTCGCAGCCTCAGAGCTGAGCGTCTACTCATCTTAGCCACACCCCGCGCCCCATATATCTCGCATCCTTACGAGCCAGGTATGTTCCCCGTGTCTCTCTCTCTCTGCCGCTATGGCATCCTATAATATGACTCCTGGCTCAGACACTCCCAGCACGTTTACAGTATCAGGCGACAAGAACCATCCCCAGACCTCCCCTCAGCGTTTCAGTGCCGTGCACAACTACCACCCCAACAAACAATCACATCTTCTCAAAGCGATATCCAAGCTAGACAGGGGGCTGCAGGAAAAGAACATGGGTCGAACTATTCTTGCAGAATTCTCACAATTTATGTCCGATGTCCTCTCCAAACTGGCTGCAGACGTTCCACCGCTGTCGGACGAGGTCGTTTCCACGGTCAAGAAGGAGTTCAGCAAACTCTTCCGGAAGAAGCGTGGTCAAGCCGAGGTTAAGATTAAGGAGGACGATTTGGCCGAGCTGATGGTACGTGGTTTGATGCAACCCTTCGTCCATTGCTCAATGCCTGAGCTGGTAGGTTCAACTCATCAACGAGCACCACCTCTGTGGCGACTACGAAGCCGCCCTATCAAGATTTGGCTACGATGCGACTGACGAAAGTAAGGGAAAGGTCGATGCGATGTTGTACCCCAAGGGTCATGCACCAACCGACGGACGGCCTGACTGGACGCACGGCCGCATGTTCATTGAGTTCAAGCGTGGAGGTACCAGCTACGACCCGTTCGACGATCACTCCGGAAAGCCCCTCGAGGCCGACGCTCAGAAACGGACCGGCGTCCGTCGTCAGCTCTTCGCGTACGGCTACAACCACATGCTCTATCAACACCGCACTGGAATCTATGGCTTGCTCATCAACGGCCCCGAGTTCCGAGGGATGCGGTACGATCGCTCTGGCCTCATCGTGACGAAGAATGTGAACTATCTCAAGAGGCCTCGAGATCTACTCAACTACTTCGCCACCTTCGGGCAGCTTGATGCCAAGGGTCAAGGTCTGGACCCCACAGCGACTCTGCTCACACCGGACTCGGCAGCGTTCCAGCTAATGGACGAGTACGCCAAGGATCCGGGAACCGACATGGAATACATGGAACGCACAATCATACCACCATACACCTCACCTGAGGATACTCATTCCTCCTCCATGCTGACGACCGCTTCCTCCACGCCGGGTGCGGCCTCGTCGTTGTTTGTATCATCGGGCGCCGGCAATATGTCGGCGCCAGCCCGCATGACTCGACAACGAGCCAAGGAGCTTGCAGCAGCCCAGGAGGACGCCGCGCGCCCGCCTCCCGAACACGATGCCGACCTCGACATCGAAATTCCCGATGATGACGAGGACCCGCGCGTCTTCAAGTATGTAAGGGAGTGGTTCCGAGAATCTCTTGAGGACGGCTGGCCTCGGTACAAGATTGAGGTTGGGCCTGAGAAGCGCAAATTTCTCGTCGGCAAGCCAAGATTCTACTCCGTGTCACTATTCGGTCGCGGCACGCGCGCCTACATCGCGCTCGATGCGAGGTCGCGCCGCTTTGTTTTCCTCAAGGACTCCTGGCGACCCTACTATAAGGATGTAGCGACGGAGGGTCACTATCTCAAGGAGCTCAATAGCGGCAGAGCCGCACCGTATGTCCCTCGGCTCTTGTGCCACGGTGACGTCGAAGACGACATCGCCTTCGCCTCGTGGTACTATGCCAAGTTGCATCCGCCGCGGGTAGACCTCGTGGCTTTTCAAGGGGAAACAGCATCGCCCTCACGTCATCCAAGCTCCGCACAGCAACCAACTGCGCGACCCCCATCTACCGGTGACAAGCGTAGCATAGACGACGTCAGAGAATCCGATCGGCAGACGGCGAGCCCCGAAGACGACGAAACACCGGCTTTCCGTGATTATAAGCACTACCGGATCGTCTCCAAAGATGTCTGTCTCGAATTCATATCCTTTGTCACCTCTGAGCAACTGGTGCGGTTTACGTATCACTGTGTCGTCGGTGAGTTGCCTCCTGGAGTAGATGTGGATTTGTGCCTAACTCAACCGTTCGCAGGTCATGGCTATGCTTACGAGGATCACAAGTTGCTCCATCGGGACGTCAGCTCCGGCAATGTTCTTATTCTACCCCGTCTTGTGGATGCCCATTCGACTCAAGGGGGACCTGGGATGAAGGTGGTCGTGTGGAATGGCATCTTGGCGGATTGGGAACTCGCAAAGGTCGTGCCGAATGGCAATTCCAACGAGAAGGCGCGGCAGCCCGAGAGAACGGTGCGTAAATCAATGGCTTGCAAATTCATAATGTAACACATCTGACCCCTGCTGGTAGGGAACATGGCAATTCATGTCTGTGTACTACGTGCGCCATCAGGCGAAGCTCCCAGTCACCGTGGCCGACGACCTGGAATCCTTCTTCCACGTATTCCTCTTCTACGCTCTTCGTCGACTGCATCACAGCATACAGCCAGAGAATGTGTCCACCTTCATTTCTCTCTACTTCGACAGCTATGAACCGGGGCCAAACAAAACCAGACTCTGCAACAAGTTCAAGAGGGATGCAATCACCTCGGGTCAACTGACGTACAATGAATGCGACATCACGTTCTTCACACGAGATGAGATTCCTCACGACCGCGTCAACATCTTGATCGAGCATCTCCTCAAGTACTTCATATCCCGGTACAAAGTTCTTGACTGGAAGGAACGCGGCAATCGCAAGCTTCAGAACCGTCCCGCTATTGCGACAGCCTCGACTGAGGACCCCTTTCTGTCCTCTCTCCCGATGAAAGGCTTGGCTCAAGACGAGCCTTTCGACTCCCTGAAAAACAAAGAGGCTGGAAAGCCTTCAACCCAGGATGAGAAATACGCCGAGGACCTCAAGACGCATACCGCTATCGAGGGCGTGTTCGAGAGGGCGCTTCGTGGTGCGCCTCATCTCCCCAATTGGCCTAAGTCCGGAGACGTCGAGAAGGACAGCCTTCCAGACTCCTACGACCCCCGCGATTACCTCAGGGCGCTCGAGCAGATGGTCGCGACTGCGTACCGCTCCACTATCGACACCTTCGCTCTCGAGTCTGCTACTACCGATGATGGAGAACTTGAGCACCTCCCCAAACGCCCAAGGACCACTGGCGACAGCGGTGTTGACGTTTCGCAGGCGGGCGCGAGCGGCAGCCACCACCCGACGGCCTCCGCGGGATCTTCTGCAATCCCCCGGGACGCGAAGGGAAAGGGTCGCGCACGTCGTTGAGCTCGTTGAGCTTTCGTTGCGAGCCCCTCCCGTGAGGGCGTACGGAGGTCTTGTGCACGCCGATGACGCACGACGTTGGCGCGTCTTCTTGCTCGAGTAGTCGAAGCCGCGGCATACTATGACATGCTTCCCCCCACAGTTGGTCTGGTCTCGCTCGTCTGCGATATGAGCCCTCATGACTCTCCGGACAACAATTCCCGTACACCGTATCTGGACATGCCTTGCTCTCATATACCATACTCCTCTTTTGCACTGCTTGGGTTGTGTTCCCCCGTGTCCCATATTGTACGTGGACTCAATTATAATCCACGGCGCGTGCCGACATGGTCATCCTCTCGCGTGAGCGTGCCTGAGTCCGAGTCGTTTGCGGGCATGATTGGAGAGACGTCCCCTGATACACTCAGCGTTCTTCGTCGAAGTACTGTCCTACGACCGCAGGCGATAATTATTCTCGCGCCGTGTTAACGTGAATGACGCCGCGACGCATGTCAGCAAACCGGATCGCGAAGCAAAACCGACACCAGCAGGATTTGAACCTGCGCTCCCAGAGGGAAACAGATAACAAACTCTAAGTTCGAATCTGTCGCCTTAACCACTCGGCCATAGTGTCTTGTATGAATGACTCAATGCAATATCTACATCGGTTTCAACACTTCCTTCAAGGTCCACGTTACAGGTCCTATGCCCGTACGTCGGGCAGAACGCAACCTGCCGGAACTGTTGGAAGAGTCTACCCGCATAAATGCTCGCCCGTACCGACGCAATACTGCGACACGGATCCGCTCGGCAAGCTAAGCAAACAACTCAGCACGCTCGTTCGCCACTGTACCATCCGAAACGTCTCCAATACTTGCTTCGCATTGGATCGTCGACGGGCCGAATGAAGGACGCTGTCACTGCAGTTGTTCAGTGTTACATGAAAGCATGGACTCACACCGTGAATTCCTCGGGTGCTGTTCGAGTGCCACCCGAGTCCGCCTGAGTAGATGTCGTGGAGGTCCGTCAGCCCTACATGCACCATCATATCAGCGCCGAAATAATCTATCCCGAAGAGGAGTGTGCCGAAGGTGATCGATTTATGTCGGCGATTTGGCTCCAGCAGATGTCTAGCTCCTCGAGCCGAGTCAACCGTCCGCACAATTCGGACGCCAGCAGTGGTCGAGAATAGTGAGAGAGGATACTATGATGGTCAGCTGAACACCGTGTTTTGCAAAACGGAGCTGTGTTTTCCGGCGCGAGCTGTAGCCGTCAAACAAGCTACACCCCAAGCGCACTGCCCGCCGCCGCCGCTGCGTCTGTCCATACACTTAAATGCAGCGCCACCGTCACGGTGACCGCGCGCAGCCCTCCAGCCGCTGGTGCTCTCGGAACCTGTATACGACAGCATGGCGCATCCAGCGAACACGTAAACACGTCCGAGCACCGCACGTAGGTGGCGCGGCATCAGACGCGCTGACGTCCTGCACTCGCCCCGCTGCAAGCTCCGCGTACGCTCCGCGCACGCAGCTGCTCAACTCAGCTGTGGGAGCAGGTGGTACACACGTTGATGGGCTAGCGGGGATCTGTCGGACAGAGGTTCGCGGCACGGTGCCTGGGGCCGGCCGCATCAGCCAGACAGCCGTCTGGTGTGCCTTTGCCTCTGAGAGGCGTTGATCGCAGGTAGTGGGCTATTTTCGATGGAGTGTTTGTTAGTCGCATGGCAGGGGAAAACCTGAAGGGATAGTATGCACACACACATTGCATAATGCGCCGTTCTCGGCGTCGCAACTCTAGGCCTATGGTTCACGCCGAGCCGTCTAACATGTTCAGCGTCGTGAGGGGAATGCGTTGCGCTGTCGAAAGCGTCTCCTGGGGGGATGAGGCTTTACGGCGGGCCTCTTTACGGCGTTGTTCCTTCTCCGGCGCTTTCTATGGAACTCGGAGACGAGAGGGTTTGACAGAATCTTTCGCGCGCGCCCGGAAAACTCCAATGAATCGTCCTGCAAGGGTCAGCCCGATGCAGGGCACGCCGGAAAACGCTGTGGATGTCAAATGGACGGCATCACGAGGCGAAGGAACGTACATGGTCCGCTCCTAATTGCTGGGGAGTAGCTTCCTCGTGGATCCTAGTCAATCCGAACTGATGGAACCCGTACGCAAGCCCCCGTTTAACGGCCCGGACGGACTGGGTCATCAGAGATGAGTGCTGCGGGGTGTACATACACCATGCTCTCGCCCTGGTCAGATCAGGGTGTACACGTGGGCCTCGTAGAAACGGACCCAGACCTGGAGTATTTCGCGTGTTTGCGTCGTATTCTTCAGCCACATATCGACTCGAGACGGCCAGAGGTGGCACCTACGGTTCCGAACTCCATAGGGGATACCCCATCAGAACCTGAGAGCGTGCATCACAGTCAGCGCGAGGTTGACAGACGTCAGGATGAATCGCCATCAGCAACACATGCGGCTCGGCCTGCTGCGAGCGGCCCACGTTTGTTACCCAGACGCGTCCGAAGCCGGAGAATATGTGGGCGTATGTACCGTCTCAAGTGCTCCATTTCGTCGTGGAACGGCACCTCCCATCGACAATAGCGTCAGGGATGACTTTCGGAGGGGACTAGCCGATACACTGAAATGACAGCTGCGAGCTTCTCCACACATCCACAGAACGGGCTCTTCGCACCTAACCGCAAAGAGGAAGGACGTACGGGGTTGTACAGAGGCGTTTGGAGAGAATTTCAACGATGTGTCGAAAAGAACTCGCGCCTACCCGCCACCCCTGCGCCTCCGACGGCCGTGTGACCTCGAAGATGAACACGCGGACCCTCGGCGTCGTCAAAGGGGGGACGGAGAACTTGGTTGGTTGGCCATACCACAACAGGAGAGTCCTGACAACTTGCTAGGTATCCTGTGGAAGTCCCAGACGCCTACAAAAACGCATATAAGCCACCTGCAATGCATCGGGATCGGCAGCGACCTCTCAACAAGCTCTCCCAAAGAATTTAACGCGCAAGTACGTGACTCACCAGCTGCCCTCCACGCTTTCGCTAACATAGTGCTTCATAGCCTCGCTATCGTCATGCAATTCTCCGTCCTCGCCAAGTTTGCCATCGTCTCCGCCGCCGCCGCCCAGATCGGCACGGTCTTTGGCAGCCCCGCCTCTCTTGAGGCCCGTGCCACCTGCATCGCCCAGCCATGTGGCGGATCGTTCGGAGATTGCTGCGACGACACGACCTGCACACCTCTCGTTCCCGGCATTCTAAGTGTAGGTCATGCTACAGTCCCGAGTGAGTGACCGCGAGGCAAGGCGCTGATCAATTTTTCGTGGACCTAGGTGTGCTTGCCCACGACGTGCGCTATCGTCGGTTGCAGCGTCACCGACCCGGACAGCTGCAGCAGCTGCGGCACAGATTTCACGTGCTCGAGTGTCCTAGGACTCGCTACGGTCAGTATGCTCGAATGACTACCGGAGCGAAGACGTGATTGACTAACTGGAGCGAACCAGGCCTGCCTGCCGACCGTTTAAGGTCGCCGTAGCACACAACTACTGCAGGAGTTATACCACGTCTTCGGCAACTCGCACCGGCACCGGCTTTCCGCGTTCCTCCTCGTACTCGACCCGCGAACCTACAGAAAACGGAGAAAATCAGATTTTGGGAGTCGGAGAAGTTGGCTCGGACTAAACATGTACAACACCTAGTATGATCGTCTGCGAATGGAAGGCCTTCCACATATGCGATCGTTCTCGATGGTCCTGCGTTTTCCTGCATTCTCCGGCCCGTCGCAGGCTCTTCTTTGCATCCGCGAGTCCTCTCTGGAGCAAAACATCTGAGGTTCCTCGGCTCTCCACTTCAAGTGTGACAAATCAGTGGACCGAGAGAGCGCCATGTTTGCAATGCAAGAGTGTCAGTAGTGATGCTTGTGCACCATTCTCGGCAAGGTCGATCACAAAGGACAGCCTCGACCTTAATTTCCCGCAAAGCGGCGGTATTCTACCTTCGCATACTACCCTTCATGAATACGGCGCATGCTCCGCTTACGAGCGACAGCCTCATACACCGCCCAATATGCCGCACTCGCGGTCGGCAGACTAAACGGCGACGCCGATGAGTCCACCCATATGACGCGACCACGGTTCACACCTGGATCCTTGAGCGTGTACTAGGAAAGGGAGATGTTGACGCTGATGACTGTTAGGGTTGTGCTGATACAAAAGAGCATCCTTAGACTCTGGGTCGGAAAGCATGTAATTCAACTGTAAGGGATCTTCAAGCAAACGAGGGAAGAAAAGCTATCATCAGCACTGCAGTGGTTGGAATACGAGCATTCACACACCTCCGTAGAGAGATGAACTACCGCGAGATCGAGGCGTACGATACACAGGTAACAGGGAGATGTTGGCAGCAGTCAAGGGAACTTGGTGTGCCACGGCGGCTGTGCCAAGGATATGCTTACGTAATGTTGGCACGATGCTCCCCTAGTCCAGCGTCGACGTTGAGTGCTTACTCGCTGGCACTCTTCTGCAACTCGTCCGACGACAGAGCTATCACCGCCTTATAGCTCTCGCTTCTCGCCAGTTTCTTGAAGCTCACCCTAGAATATACCCTTACATTGGTGGAGTCAGTGGAGTAAGAACGTCTCAGATCCGTATTACAATACTGTATAACTAAAACAGCCGCCTTCAGCACCGGAGTTGGTCTTGTCTCTTACCATCGGTCGACCTTTCGTGAAGAGAGGAATCAATACTGTATGCAACAAGCGGTATTACTCTCGAGGATGTAATTAAACAAGCAGCGTGGTAATCGTGGGGTGTGGCAAGACCCAAGCCCGGTATCAGTTACCCACTTTCCACAAGAGCATCGTGCAGGGTTTGGCATCGGCTTACTCGAGATCGCGTAGGAGACCGGCATCCTAGAAAGAAGACTTGCTCCTGCCGATATGTGCGGCATATCACGTTCACAACTCGAAGTACTAGCGTTACTGGGCTACTTTGCCGCACGACATAGGCCGTCAACTCGCTAAGTGTGCCCTATGACCCTACAGGAGACACACATGTCTTCGATAGCACCCTGTGTCTCCGCTACGCATCCGCCCTCAATTTTTTTCTAAGCAGTACGTCATCACCGTTGCTCCTCTGATGATCCTTTGATGTGCACCAGGCCCGTCATATTCTTGTTCGCCATCATGAGGCTTTCTCCGCAGAGTCGCAGCCACCACCGTCGATCCTTTCCAAGCGGGCGCAGAAACCCTGTACTGCGACTGCATTTGCGGCTTGGATGAATGCGCCTAGATCTTCTCCTACGAAGACCGGCAGTTCAGCAAGTGCCGCAGGCAGTCCCAACAGCGCCGAATTAGGCATCGGGGTCCAGGGTGTGAGTAGCTCGCTTCCGTATACGTTGGTGTGGTCTTGCTCACTGGGCGAACACATGCACTGCAATTGTATGCGACCCTCCTCAGGTAGCCGATGCGGAGGCTCTTCAGTCACTGCACTTGAATGCTCAGGGATCACCGTTGTGCCGCCTGCAGTGCGACCTCATATTGAGCTCCTTCTGTACATGCAGTACCCTGCTATCATACGGATCAATCGGTCGACGCCGTCCGTTGTCCCTTATACGACGTCCGGGCAATTTT